AATGGTTGGGCGAACACCGCTCTGGTGGGCCGCTATGAATGGGCATGAGGAAGCCGTGAGGATACTGTTAGGGCAGAGCAACGTAAATCCCCAGTGCACCGACGAAGATGGCCGAACACCACTGTCAAGGGCCGCTGGGAGCGGGTATGAAGTTTGTCTTTTTCCTTTGTTAGCATTTTTCCTGTTTGCTAGAATACGGGGGGGGGCTTACCTGGTGGAGGAGGGGGGCGTTTTCTTTGTTAGTTTGTGTTTGCGCGAATATGGGAAGAGGGGAGGACTTACCTGGGGGGGGGGTGGACACTTCATAGTTTGTCGTTGTCACTCGGGGTTGATATCTAGTCCTGTATTTCCGTTAGTTGATGTTAGTTAGTTAGGTGATATGCGCGCGATAGTGAGGGGGTGAGAGTGTGAATGCGAGAGTGTTAGTAAGGTGAAAAGATTCGCAAGTTTTCCGCTTTTGGTGTTGTGAGTAAGCACTAGGCGTTTCCGTGTTTCACAGGCTGTCACTCGTTCGTTTCAAAGCAGTTCGGCGATCTCGAATTTCATCAAGGCCCGAATTCACTTGATGTATACTAGAGAGATGGAATTCTCTCTGATAATTGCTAGAGTGTGATACAGGAGTTAGTTTAGGACATGGTAGGCGTAGGGGTTGTGTGGGGTTCAATAGCCTCTTCTCATTATGAGGGTTTTCCGTGTTGGGTGTACGAAGTGCGCTCACTACTTGTATGTAGCTTCCAGCCACTGTGAAGAAAACACTACATGATTGTCATCGAACATGGCTCTACTCCGAACCAACAGTAAAGTGCTTTGGTCCCAAACTAGGCATGAGTCTCCTACGCTGCCCCGGTTAGGATTGGGTTATGAACGAATTTTCATCAAAGTAATACAATCACTGGCAGATCAGTGTTCATTGCAGGGAGGCGCAGGATGGGCTCTGGCTCTGCAGCCCTACCATTAGATAATTGAGTGAGAGAGAAAGAGACAGGAGAAAAGAAGAAAAGAAGCAAGGTAGAAATATAGGTGGGGACATGGGGTGACACAAGCAGTTATGAGGGGTCACTCATGAATGCAGAAACTGGGAATGTTACGAATTGGACATTCTGGTTGTGCAGCGGAAGATTGTTGATTAAGTTCTCTAGCTCGCTAAGCGAAACAGGAACGGTATATGATACCCAATCATCGTGACATAACCCATGATGTGGAATACACACTTCCACATACATCACCGCATCCGCAATAGTGAGAAGGAGGCCTAAGCACTTCTCTCATGATACCTCTACCTTGAGGAGCGATTCTGAATCGGGAATATTATGGTGACCATGACCACAATTTCCTACAAAAAGTACAACAAATGAGAAAGCAAAACAATTCTAGGCTAGCAAAGACAGGGTAGACACCTTTTTATTTCTAGCTTCCTAGACTAAACTAGTTTTTTTTTTATAAAAAAAAAAATCAAAACACACAAGAGCCACCTACCAACAACAGGCAAACAGCAACGGCAAGTGCGGCCCAGAGACCATTAGAACCATCCTCTCCCCCTCGCAGCTGACCCGGGGGTAGCGGCCCAGTCCCTATCGTATTAGATGTTATTTCTGGCCGCAAGAGCCATCGCGGAAAAAAAGCACCTGAGATCGTGGAGGACGTCTTCCATCTCGGCGCAAGATCTAGGGGCAGTTCCGTATTGACGCCTTATATCCTCTGTACAGGCTTGGGCGAAGTCGGCAAAACTTGATTCTATAAAACTTTTGGCAGCCTCCCACGGAACCTGATCCCCCCCCTCCCCCTCCCCATCACCCTCCCCATCACCCTCCCCATGATCCTCCTCACAACCCTCCCCCTCGTCCTCCCTATGATGCCCCCCATCACCCTCCCCGTTATCCCCCCCATACCGCTCCCCTTTATCCCCTCCATCCAGTGTTCCCAACCGTCCGAAGCTAAGGACGGACGGACTGGACGTTTGGGAACACTGCCTCCATCACCCTCCCCATGACTCCCTCTACTACCACCCGCGCCCACAGAACCGCTCGGTCCACTAGCGCTTGCTGCCGGGTTCCCACCTTCCTGCCTGGAAAAGATTTTGTATATTTGGTCCATGGTCCCTGCTTCGAGCAGGGCTTCCTGTTTCTTGTATTCTGCAGGACCCATGGTCCAGAAAGACGGAACCTTAATTCTTCCCCCTTGTAGGCATCCATTTGATGCTCATAGAGGTCACCGATATTACGGGTAACAAAGGCGCAGTCCCCAATGGGGCACTCATCGTTTTGGAGATGAGTACTCAGAATATGAGCTCTACATAAAATTGTTAACCACTAAACCAGCACCAAAGCAATACTTATAAGAACTCAAATAATTGAACCTCGCACTAGGGCATTGGAGTTGCTTTTGCTAGTATTTCTGGAAACTTTTGCACCACGCAAGTAAACATGTTGCAGTGTAGGAAACTTACTTGAGACCCTTAAAAGTTGCCATTTCAGCAAGACAGGAGGAACCAGAGGAAGGGACCGGACAGACAAAATATCCTTCTTCCGTGCTGGAGTGTGGGGGGTTGTCCCTACCAAGTGCCTCCTCACTTCATTGCTTTTTCTTTCCTTTGCGGTCGACCTCAGGCTCACCATTGACACGCTTTTGTGGAGATCCCAATCCACGAACAGGAGATCCGGACCAGGACCGTTGCTCAGATGGCCCACCGCCACCTCCACTTGCCCCGCCAGCACCGGGTCCAACACCACCACTGGTTTGCTTGGGTACAAGCTCAGGGGCCTTTCGAAACATTTTGCCCTACTTTTTTTTTGTTTAGGGGGGGGAATAGAGAGAGGGCTGGTGCGCGAGTGAGGAATAAGGGTTTTTGTTGTAGTGATGAGGTTTCAGTTGTGTGTGGAGGGGGGAGGGTTTGTGGTTCTTGTGAGGAGTGGGTGGGGGGAGAGTTCATGGGTTGGGAGCAAACACCTCCATTGTGCGTACATGCCAAGACCAATCCCGCACAACAGACCATTAACCTTAAATTCGACTTCATGTTAATGATTGCTTATGCACGATTGGCCTGGGCACATACTCGGGGGTGTCTCACTTACACTCAGTATTCCCAACTGTCCCAGGCGCCCTACAGGGCCCTGGCGGGCTTGTAGTCCCGGGCGTCCCGGGTGTGGTGGGCCAGGACGGCAGGGCATGGCGTCCGTCTTTGATCAAGACTGCCGTCCGAGCGGCTGACGCCCGGGCCCGGGGGTCTTGATACAAAGGGCATCTTCCAGCCGTCCTCACCAGGGCCCGGCCGTCATCTGTAGGGCCCGGCCGTCATTTGCAGGGCCCGGCCGTCATCTGCAGGTCTATTTGCAGGTGAGACACCTATAGGGCCCGGCCGGCCGTCCCGGGCAGAGGTTAGGACGGACCACAGAACGGGCATCCGTCCAGGGCAGAGTTCCAGGAACCGGCGTCCGTCCCGTCCGAAGCTAAGGACTGACGGACTGGACGTTTGGGAGCACTGCTTACACTTACTACCGTAGAATCCAGTACTTCCTCTCTAGCTACCAGCTGCTTAAGGATGGCTCCTATAATGTTGGCAGTAGTCTGTTCTTGTTGGTCACGGAAGTCGGAGTAGAATGCCATGACAGCAATATCTTCCTCGAAAGGCTCATCACATAGGCTATCGATCACCAATGAACTAAGATCGCCTGCGGTCAGTGATAACTCCTATTTCGTCCCCAAGGCCAGTGGCTAACCTTAAAAAAGGTCTTTCCCACCCCAGGATTCCCGTAGCAAAACAACACAGCCTTGTCTGCTCCACCTTCACCACTTCTCCACTCCGGAAACTCCCTTGATTCCAAATACCCACTACCCACGCTATCGAACCTGTCGGTACGCACATCCTGGTGCCTTCTCTGGGGGTCCAGTGGCGGGAGCCACCCCATAACCTCTGAGTTCTCATCGGCCATGACTTGGTTCAGATTGGCTGTATTGTTGTGGCTATTCGTGATTTTATTGCAGTTGACATTACCGCTGTTAGCCGAGTGCGTATATGCTATTAATTCCATGATGGTTGTTGAAAATTGCGGTTGAATTGACGAAGGTTTCACGGAACCAAAGTAAATGCCCAAAGAGAGAAAAGTATTTTTCTTGTATACAGAGAGTGGAGTCAAGAGAAAGAAAAGAAGGAGGCAGGTTTGTTGACTGTGCAGAGTGAAGGAAACAGCAAGCGAGGAACAAGAGGAATTAGGTGTGTTGGTTGGTCAGGTAAGAGAAGAAAAACAACAGGAGAAAACAAACTTCAGGGAGCAACGCACAACAAGGACATGAAAGATGTGTAAGCACTTACATATGCACATGAATGCTTATGGCTCGCATATGAAATCATTCTCATGTTTTCAACAAAGGTCTGCAGACAAACAATGAGTGATATATGGTGATGCCCTGGAACTGACAACAATGAGGGATATACATGCAAGGAGGAGGTGAAATAAATCATCAAGTGCTCCAAGTGCTCCAAGTATTAAGATAAGACTAAACCAACCACTCTGCTATGAGTCTTACTTTTTCTTTTAAATACTTCCATAAGTCTTTCACTTTAACTATAGTCCACAGTGATATCGCAACAAAGCGAAAGAATGGATGTAACCGATGTCGACTCACAGCAAAATGCCTGTGATTTTTCAGAAGAGTTACCGGGAGAATTAATTGACCCTTACTGCCTTGCAGATTTATGCCGGTGGTTTTTGAGTTCTAATTTGGCAAACACTTTTGGCTTTTTTATTTCTTAAAGATGTATCCCCCCCTCCTTCTTAGTTTACGCATATGGCACATGACTCGCCTGATAATAAACTATGAGCGAGATCAAATCATGAACTTGAAGTTTCTGAGCATGCCAGCCAAAGAGATGTATCAGGAAAACATCACAGGGTCCTATCTCCACCAGCCCTAGTCCGTCCATGGACTCGAAAAAAGACAGACTACCACCGGCAGTCAGCCCCGTCCTACCTCCAAGACGGACGGACTGGACGGTTTGGAACATTTCTCTTAACCTTGAAAACTGCGCTCTCAAGGTCCTGAGAAACCTTGGAGTCTGCATCTAATCGAACCAAACTCGGTTCTTGCTAGCCAGCCTTCACAAATTCAATAGGCAACTTCGGCGGTGTAGCGGAGAAAAGTAGCAGTTGGACATTAGACGGTAATGAATGCAAGATCTGCCTCAATTGTGCTGATAGACCCATTCGAAATGATGACCCTCTTCATCGACGACAACATACTGAACGAACCTAAGATCCTGTTCTATCACAACTTTCAAGTGCATAAACTGTCTGGGAGTCGCAATAACCCTGCAACTCGCCGATCAGATATAAGAATCTCATAGATTAACTTAGGGAGGCAAAAAAGCAGAGAAGACACATATCAGGATTCCCAACCATACACCCAAACTGCCCCTCAAGACTATTCCCTTCCGCTAACAGTACGACCTTTAAATCCCTTAACAACCTTCATAGTCTGCAACACCAACCCCCCACCCGGTAATTGTGCAAGCGCCCCCATCCTACGGCTATGTGTCTTCAACCTCACAACCATGGGTACGACGAACGACACAGTCTTCCCGCTATCTGTCCTCGCCATACCAATTACGTCCCCCCATCAAGCACTAAATGTATAGCTTTTTTCTAAATAGGCGTATTATAGCAACAGAAAAACACTCTTTTATCATTGCCTTGAGGAGAGACATATTTAGTCCCATGGATTAGAAACCGACACCTTTTTTGACGGATTTGCCTGTTATCGTTCGTTGAACTGCCTTCGCGGTTTGGCGCAGCTCACGGGGCAGCGATGAGGGCTTGATCTCCATCACTGTCGTCACTTACCTCAAGAATGTCATTGGTGTCTGACGGATTTTGAAGTGGGTGTAGCAGGGTTCTCACCATCCAAGCCTAGGAAATCTGTATCAGCGAGGGGGTTGGATGTCAAGATGGATTTCACTCCCGGTAGGGGAGGGAGCATGGTATTGCATTGCCGCAGTTAAACGTTGGCTCACGTTGGTGGTTGGCAAATTTGTTGTGAGCTTAGAGACAATTGGGGTGGGGTGAGGATGCTCTACCGTAGTATCATACTGTTGCAGGTCTTCCCCGTCAGGCGTCTTTTTGTGGGTCTTAGCAATCTTGATGGCAGAGGTTCCGGTAAGGATGGCTTGTAGGAAAAAACACAAGAAAGCAAAGCCATATGATTGAAGTTAAAAGACGAATGCTTGATAGCTGTACTTGATCGGTTTGATCAAGTCATGAAAACGGTGAAGAATGAAGACTGAAGGAACGATTTCTTCCAACTGAAGAAAAATCCCACGATGCCTCCTCTTGCTTGGAGGCGTTGTCACCTCTGTCAAATGACAGGAAAGGTACCAGCTAGATCGCCCACCTCTCAGCTATGCCAAAGCATATGCAATCCTCACAGAAAAATACAAGAATCGTGAGAGTTATTGACATGCGCCACAAAACTAGGGTCACCATGGCCCTAACCCTGACTGGACAAGGAGAAATTTGAGGTTACATGAATTCATGTCACAAACACTTGGGCATTTCCTTGTATGATATAATATAATCCGAGGAGAAGTCCTATCATAGGTTGGGTAGAGTACATTTTGGCTAACGGCCCAATGAAGAAAAATAATAAAAATAGTTAAAGAAATCCTGACTACGGTATACTCTCTAACTTTATAACTTAGAGCTTAGTTCGAAAGCAGAGGGAAAAAAACAAAGGCAAAAAGACTCGGAGAACTCTGACTGTCATAGCAATACTTGCAATTTTTGTAACACCGCAGTAAACTTTTATCTCCTGCTCCTGTAAAAAGATAAGAGGAAGCAATCATCATCACCCCCAACGCACCACTTGCACTATCCCTCACCTTCTTCTGGGCTTCATTGATTTTCTCGGCCCCAATATTGCAAAGATAAGAATCTGTATTAACAAATAGTAGAACAACTCAAAAAGAAAACCAAAAAGGAAACCACAAATCAACGCCAAAGAAAAACCACATAACTTCATTGCCCAAGTATGATGTCCAGTGCGTAGCTATCGCGGGTGTTGGTTAAGGCGCCAGCAACCCTTGCCCGGGGAGATCGGTAGCGCTGATATGTTCCGGTACCGCAATGAGAGCGCATGGGAGTTGAGGCAGGGTGGTGAGTGGACAATAAAGAAGGCGAGCTGTAGGACGAATGGTGATCGCAGGATTGGAAGAAGCTAGAAGTGGCCATAGTTGCAAGAAAGGGGAATCAATGGACCCTGCGTCTTAGAGCTATGGCGCCAGAAGGCGTGGAGGGGAAGTGTGTAACCTCCTAACTTCGATTTTTTTGATTGGCTGGGGGTTGTTAACTAGACTATTTTGCCACGATGGAATCAATATTTGCACGCAAGCCGATATATCGTAAGAGAGGTTACACACTTGCCATCTATCGCGTCTTGCGCCATATGACCCCGCACTGCCCCGGCAACCGGATATACCTCTTTCCGCTACCCCCCAGGACACCACCGGCACCGCTGTCCGCACTACCTAGTCTGATGGACTTGCCCAATTAGCAATGAGTTTTTCAACCCACCATTTAAGAGAGGTTCATTAGTATTGAGGTCAACTGAAAAAGCTTAGTAAAATTCACTAACTATAGAATTGATGTGCGAATCAACCTATTGCGGGCTTGGGGAGTTCACATTCCTATTCTGGAAAGCGAGTGACTCTCTATAACACCTTTTCCTGCTTTCTTGGACTCTCTCCCTAGCCAATCACCCCTCTGTTCCGCCATGTGTAGAATTACAAATTATTATTGTTTTCCTTTTCTTCTTTTCCCCCCTTCTCCCGTGTTTCATTGCATTGTAAATTTATCTTAGTTCATGTTAGTTGTTATGATCAACACATCGTGCACACGCCCAGGCAATTCGCTAAAAAGCCACCAGCCATGGATAGGGCTCGTTTAGTAACCACGCAGATTCTGGACCTTCCATATCCGGTAACTCTGCACGGTGGCTAAGTCACTTTTCCGGGAACACACTACTTAGGCCCTGTTCGGCAATGACCATTTCGTTCCCTTCGCCCATACAAATTGCCTTATGGTTCCCTTCGCGAACGGCCATTTTGTATGTGCAAATGGAATGGAAAGGTCATTGCCGAACAGGCCCTTAATATTCCCGGATCCCCGCCGGGCAAAGTCACTAGGCCACACCTCAAGTAGGAAGCGCGAGAATGTGCATGTCTCCTCAGTCCATGGGGTGCGCTGTGTTCATGTGGTGAAAATCTTAGCTTCAACTCCTCTACTCGAGTATAGAACTCTTGGCACCATAACCATATGAGGCCTGGCGCAAGATTAAGCTGGGCGCAGCCAAGACTTCGTATAAAAGGGGTAGGTTTGCCGCGTCAGAGAGAAGTGACCAAGTTTTTTCCACCTCACGATTTAGCCACCAACGGTCGAACAACAATCATGGCTCCCAAGTTGAAGGATCTTCGACAACAATGCAAGGACACTGGACTTGATCCTACGGGGAAAGTTACAGAGTTGGTCCAACGCCTAAAGGACAATCGGAATCGCATGGAGACTTTGCCAGCGGATCAAGAGGAGCCAACATGTGACGCAATACTCGTTACCCAATCGATGATCGGTAGCGTGGATGACATGAAGAGAGACGCCTATGATGAGCTGAAACAAACACTAGCAGAGGAGGAACTCGAGGTTCGTGAGGTGATGGGAGAACAATACAATGGTAATCCCCGGGGTCGTGGTCTTGCTGGTCTTCCGGACCGTGTTCGTATACTTGAGGAGGAAAATTCTGCAAACAAGGCCAAGATCGCCGCTAGCGAGGAGAAGATCGCCGCCAGCGAGGAGAAGATCGCCGAGCTGAACGAGCATGTATCCATATTGAAGCTTGCGGGGCATGATTATAAAAGGGTTCGGAATAGATTTCTCTCAGTCTTTAAACGGGATATAATGAAAGAGACCCTCAACCAGTCGGACCGGAATTTCATTGCAGAGAGCAACGTCATAGCACATTCGGGAGATGCTGCCATTGATGCCTTGTTGTATGATGGCGAAGGGCGACGACAAGATCAGTACGTATTTGAGGAACTGTACGGACTTCACCCCGCTGAGGTCAAGACAATCAGTAAGTAACCCTCGCTACCTGATCAAGTTAAGTGCCAGCATTAAAGCTAACCTCTCCAGCCCACAAGGAAACGATACAGGTATTGAATCTCCATGCCAGGGTCAAAGCGAACGACCCACGCGGGGCAGAGGAATTCTACCGGAGATTTGCCGTCTTCTTGGCGGCATTCAAAAGGGAGGACCCTGGGTCCAACTATCTCTTGTACGATCACACAAATCCCACCTGGGCCGCGTACTGGTGCCTACTCGAGCTTCAAATGTGAGGATCAAGGTAATGTCATGACTGACGAGTGGCATTCTACAAAGGAGATACTAATAATACTTTAGTGGATCCACACAGGACGAGGGGGGGGGGTTGGTGTGGTGAGGTACGGTGGCGGGTAGGTGGGCGAGGGGTGGGACTCCTTTGCGCTTTCGGTGGACTCTTTTTCTCTTTCGGTGCTGTTTTTGCCGCTTTTTGTGGGTCGGGTTTTGTCGCGGGGTATTAGAGCAGTTTACCTAGACGATGTTCATTCACAATTGTGCTCTTGCCTGTTCCAATGTGTCAATCCCCATCAGCGAACAGCCCCGATGGGTTAGTCTGATTCCAAGTCGCGAAACCTGCCATACCAAAATCCTCATCCCCCAAGACCCGTCCTGAAGCACCCCAACGTGACCGCTTGCCTGACGATGCTTGATATCTCACCTGCCACAGTTACCTCATCAACTGTATTGTAGCTTAGTACAGGTTGGCTAAATCCACCAGATCAGCAATCAAATTTTCTTGAGAACTCGCTCTGAAATTTAGCACGAAACATTGATAGCAGGGTCCGGCTAAACCGCGCTGTGAGGGAGGTTTTACAGGCGGGATAAGATAAAGACAATGACCAAGCCTTGGCGCCAACGGTGGGTCTGGTAGTTCTCTAATTCCAAATGACGGAAGCAGGTTGTGCCAAGGGAAGAAGATTGGGGAATAAAGAATCACTAGCTGCTTGACGAGTTGAAATCTAGTCTCAGCCGAAGTCTGTTGTAAGAATACTCTTTTTCAGATACTGCAAGTACTTGAGCTGATCTGTGATACATGCAGCGATTGCTAGTGTTATTTGTATTTTTAACCCACTGCTATTCGGGATATGTTAACTTGGGTACAGATAGCAGATAACAGCACTTTCCTCATCACTATACTAACATGTAGTGCGTTGTCACAGCGACATTGTAAAACGGGGGTCTTGGCACTTGAAGTCTCTTAGCAAACCCTCCCTATTATCTTCCCTTCCCGTCTTCCCGTCTTCAGCGTCCCTTCTCTCTTTACCGCTGTGCATCATCTGCATGGGTTTTGAACTCTTGCTCTCCCGTTGCAGCCTTTTTCTCTTTCTCTCCACATTCGAAACAAGGCTGAAATTCCTCCTGGTTACAAGTCCCTAGCGACGAATACTTGGTAATTCATGTGACTTGAGTTGCGACATCGGATTTAATAACGACCTGAGAGTGCATAATACTAGGACGCCGCGAACACATAGTCGATGCGATCCAACAGTCAAGGAAATTGTTGTTTTTACAAAGGTATTTACCCTTGCACCCTAATTCCAACCTCGCAATCCCCTTGGGAGCGCAGAATTTTGTGAACTTGACCCTATCACATACCAGTGGTGGGCCAAGAGAAGACATATCGATAGCCCATACCGTGGTACCGTTTCTTCTTACGGCTACCTTCTCATGATAATCCATTTTCGGATCAAAGTGGTTAACCCCCCTGTGTTGATCAATCTGCAGAACACTACGATCCCGGAAGACGCACCGCCTGACCAGATATTTCATCAGGGTGGCGAAAGAAGGCATCATGTTTGGTATGCTAAAGATATCATAAATCTTCCCAAGACCATGAACCAAATGCATGTCGGCCAGATCCTACATAGCTTCTTCGAATACGGTTCACATAGGTTCCAATGGGGAAGAGAGGTCATCTTCCTCCCGACCCAAGGCGGCATATTTAATAAGTAAGGTAAGGGTTGGGTTACGGCTGTTGCTAGGCCAGGCAGGAGCGGGCATACGCGGATAAAAGATAGACACTGGTTTGCCATAGTGGACCCTTTCGAAATCAGCGACAACGTTCGCAGGATCTGCAATCCCACCGGAGCAGACAAGGTTCGCACAGAGTTCAAAATGTTGTTGTAAGACTCTGCGTAGGGTCAGGAGGATAATGGTTTGAGGAAAGAATAGATTTGATGAGATAGATTGTATCTTGTGCTCGCCTACTTCTATGGATGGGCGCGGGGGGGGGGTTTATATAGAGCAATCCATTTCCAATCCACTCACACAATAGTTTTCAATGTTCGACAATCCTTTATCCGAGGTGCCTGGCTATTCTTGCGCAGCTGTTCCGAGGTCCTCCAACTTGACCGAGCACGACCGAAGACTTCCGAAAACTCACAGTCATACCCCCCCGTACCTTCCGCCCGTGGCACCACTGAAACCTAGAATACAACAACGACGAATACTAGCAGGGAAATCTCTGCTAGTGTGAAACCTCTGTACCACTACCCGAGAACAACCAATGCTGGATTGCATGAGCGCCGGTGCTTTTCAACACAAAAGAACCTGGAACTCTGTTAGGTTTTGCGATGGGGGGAAGTCAATAGGGGAGCTTTTATACCAGGAGGAGCCACCGGAGAAGCCATCGGTTTGGTGGGAAGATGACAACAGGATGGATTGAAAATCTATTCTAGATCAAACTACTGAGAGAGAGACGATCAACCATACCGCAGAACACCTACTGAAGGACGTCAGTGATGAGGGCAGCGTTCCGAATGGTCCGCGGAAGACTGGGCTGGACCAGCTAGTCCAGTCGAAAGTCAGGTCTAGTCCAATGGTGGAAATTAGACCGACTGGATGGTCAGAATAATCGGAACTGACTTGGTCAGGACTGGTCCGACCAAGCCTGCCAAGAATAGAATATGCACGGCCCTTTAACCCAGATTCCGCTTTTCACCATTCTCACCACACCAGGTTATATTCAAATAAAGATTTTCTTAATTAAACTCCTTGTTTCCATGGATTATGCTAAATCTTCTTGGGAGAATTGGAGTAGTGATAATACCTTACTTAGATTGGGGGCAGTGAAAATAAATTCACGAGTATCAAATTCTTTCTGTGCACTAAGTGAGTGATATTACATGACTATGCAATCTTTTATGAAGACTGGTCTAGGACCAAGCCCCGACCGGCTCGGACCACCCGAGTTAGTCAGGTCGAGTCATTGACATCACCAGGACTGGCCAGGCTGGTCTTGCCTCCAAGACTTGACCAGTCGGACTATTCGGAACCCTGGATGAGGGAGAGCTTTGTGTGAATACACACTTGATGTGGTGACTCCCGTCGTTTGGGAATCCCGTTAGCGGGAGGCGTGGGGGCCTGCGAGAGAACTCGACCCGAATATAGGTTAAACTTTGATTTTGTTTTCTTTTCGCTTCCTTAGTCTGAGTGGCTCAAAGGATTACATGGCGGGTTGGCACAACCCATTGCCAATTGGACAAAGCGCACGGAATAGTGCTCGGGGTATGGGGACTGCACCTCGGAGGACAGCGGAAAAAGGCATAGCTGGTTGCTCGGCCAGCGCGGGGTCTTAGCTCACACAGGGAGGGTCCGTGAACCCCCCTACATATACCTCTTCCAGCTCCCCAGACCATGAGATCACCATGCTTCCTCGCTTTCCACACCTCGCGTTCTTTGTTGTTTTCACAATTCTCGCTAAAAACACCCTTAGTAGCTGACTCTATATTATCTCCCAGCCTACTCCCCATCCTAGCAACAGGCATCATGGCCCCCCAAAGATCAGCAGCACGAAGAGGCAGCTCTAGCGGATCTAACCCACGAAGCTCTACTGGAGGAATACGAAGAAATACGCGCAGCCGCCAACCACCCCCCCGTTATGGCCAGCAAGGCGCAGCACGCGCAGTCAGAGGGAGCACACCAGCTAACGATTCGGCAACCGACAGCGATGAGCCGGAACCCCGCATCCCAGAATATACCCATTCCCCTCCGAGTAATACCAGAACACTTAGCAGAAGCCCAGCCTCCCAGAACACCGTAAAACCACAACCGGGCACCCAGATGACCCCTAGTGAATCCGGCACACGACACCCATCTGCACCGTCATCCGACGTATCCATCAACCTGTCTACCATGAGGGAACTCCTTCGATCCCATGAGCAGGATATCATTGCCCGGGTTGTTCTTCAGCTCCGTACCCAACACCCCCCCCAACCGACTATCACTTCCCCATACCTGCCAGCTTTACACTTCCCCCCCTCCGTCACTCAGCCACTACAACCAAACCCTACTCTTACCCGAATAGCAGAATTAGAGAGTCAACTATCACAATTGTGGGCAGCAACCCATCAAGATCAGTCCCTAATAGAACCAAGACCCCTCGGTACGTTATTCCCCACCCAAACTCCAATCGCAGTGGAAGGAGAGAGCGCAAGTGGCATTGTCAACTCGGTGGAAACCCTTTTCCCAGGGGTAGAACGCAGCACACTGGTACAGATCGTCGAGAACCCATTTAAGCCCACCAATATACACCGTCTCTTGGCAAGCGAGAAGGAGCGTGCAGAAACCCACCGCACTATCAACATCGGCGGAGTTGAGTTCGAACAGATGGAACGGGAAGGGAAGGAGAGTGAATACCAGATGTGTGGATTCTTCAAGGCCTGGGCAGCCTATTGTGGAATTCTTATTAAGCTTGTCCCTTACGCTCTGCAAGGGGAACTTGCCACAGCTCTCTGCATCTATATGATGAATCTCTATGATCTGCTAGAGAAGTACTCTTGGGAGGGAGTCAGACCCTACCACTTCAAATTCCACCGGGAGCAGGTCGCTAGCGGAAAACATCTATAGCATCCAGCAGAGTGGCACCAGCTGGATAGCCAATTGATCGCCTCTAAATACTTTGCATACCCAGCATCTCGATCCTCCTGGTCTCAAATTCACAAGCCTACACTAGGCCAAGCACACAGCAGCACAACTACCCCCATGCCTGTACTAGATCGGCGGAACAATTACAACTTCCCGACCCCGACATCTGCCAATATGCCCACATCCGGCCTACCATCCCAATTCCCAATAGCTCAGCCCTGCCGCAACTGGAATTACCGCGAGTGTACATCTACCGCTTGCCGTTACCAACACTCTTGCATAACTTGTAGTGGTAGCCACCGGGCATCCCAATGCACGCTCGGGAATAATGTAACCCCAACCTCGCCCACTCAGGGATTTGTTACCCACGAAAACCTCCTCTATGATCCGGCATCCTCACTTGTTAGCGAACAGCCCCTCCACCCAAATACGGAGATCCATTACCCATTATTTACCCCTCACCACTTGCCGATGCCAGTAGGCCAACTAAAGGCCGCGGGATGGCACAGGCTTGCGGCAAGATACCACTAAAGGAAGTGACTTCCGCTCTTCAAGGAATATGCCAATTTGGAGCAAGAATCGGGTATGAGGGAGTGAGAGAGTCACCAACTATTCACCCTAATCTACCCACTGCCGAGGGAGACACCCACCTGGTTACCTTAGATATTGCCAAAGAACTCGCCAAGAACCGCTTTCTAGTATACTCGAACGAAGAAAGCTTACCCACACACTTCACAGCATCGCCACTCGGTTTAACAGAGAGGTCAGATGGTGGTAAGAGGCGGATTCACCACCTATCATAATCCGCCACTAGTACCAACTCAATAAATGGTGGAATCCCAGAGCACTATAGAACGATTTCCTATACCAGCATTAACAATGCCACTGATGCTATTTAGGAGATAGGCAAGGACTGCATACTTATAAAGCGTGACTTTGAATCCGCATTCTGCCATATACCAGTCTCACCAGTCGATTCTCCCCTCCTGGGTTTCAAGTTGCAGAGCGCGTATTATGCTGAGTGTTTTCTCCCATTTGGGCTACGGACTACACCATACCTGTTCAACATGTTTGTGGAGGTCTTCCACTAGATTCTTGAAGACCAACTCCGGTTGCAAGGCCTCAGTGTAAGAATTATACACTACCTCGATGATTTTCTCATGGTCCTACCACCCCAATCCAAGCTCGAAAAGTACACCACGGTATTCACTGCTCTCTGCAATGAAGTAGGCCTTAGGATCAAGGAGTCAAAGCATGAACAGGGGACTCTTGCAAGTTTCGCAGGCATAGAATTAGATCTAAAACACATGGTTATTCGACTTCCAGAGAAAAAGCTGCTCAAAGCAAGGTCTATCATCCTAGCAACTACCAAAAAGAAGTCCGTCTCTCTCCTCGAACTCCAAAAAATCACGGGATACCTCAATTTTGTCGCAACTGTTGTACCCCTGGGCCAAACCTTCCTACGACGACTCTATAATATGCAGCTCTATTTCCCCCCAGGCAGCGTACACCACAAGCGACGTATATCTAGTGAGGCCCAAAAAGACCTTGCCTGGTGGGGCAAGGCACTTTCAAGTTCCCCAGAACGGTGCATAGCCTCACAAGCTCGCGAAATAATCTCTACTTGGTCCGATGCTGCAAGTACAGGAGGTATTGGTGCGTACTATACTTGTCAGTCACAACCCTACCCCAACCTGGACTCGGTATTGTCAACAGCATTACCGAATTCTGCCATACACGAAAGAGAACATATCAATACAAAGGGAATGCGAGCGGTGGAACAAGTACTACTCTATTGGGGATGGGAATGGAGGGGAGGACGGGTTGTAACGCATACCAACAATCGGGCAGTGGCATACGGACTAGGGAATGGCACAATACGTGGCGCCTCAATGCAAGTTTTACGGAGGTGCTTGCTGCTGGTAACTGAATAGGACTTGGAGCTCTAGTTAGAATGGGTCTCCACGAAAGACAATGCCCTGGCTGATGCGCTCTCTCGTTTTGACCATCATAGAGTTACTAACTTAGTACCACAGCTCTCATTCCCAGCATGCAAGCTCCCGAATCGTGGGTTGCGAATATAC